GAATTACTTTTTTTATACTGATAATCTTTATATAAATAAAGTAAAACTTATAAAATTACAAAAAATATATTTTACTTTTTTATACTCGGCATTAAAGTATAGGTAACCTATATCATGTTCGTTAAGATCTTACACATTACATATTTTCGTGAATATAAGAAATCCTTGTAAATTCATATAATTACCCACGCACAGAAATGGTAATAAGAACATTTATCGACGTACAAATTCGAACCATCGAGCGAAATTTGCCACCGATTTGTCATGGCCGCATCCAGATCCCAGCCGCCAACTGCGCAAACAACGGTGATTACACAGAAAGGGCGCGAATGTTTGCCTTCCGCGCAATATGGCCGCCGTTCGCGCCATTATTTATGGCCCGCGTCATTGACACTGCGTAATTCGGGGGGGCCGAAGTGCGAATGGATACATTAAAAAGTCGACAAACAAACGGCTGGCGGGGAAGTGTCTTTTAAAAAAAAGTTTGTCCAAAATGCAGATAAAAATCGCGCTGTTATTATTACAGACGATATGAAAAGATAGATAGTGTGATTTTAAAACAATAGTAAAACCGCATTTTGAAGACTTACTTTACTTTACCTTTCTTTGAGCTTATTTAACTATATCTGTAAGCTTATTTAACTATAATGATTTTATTGAATAACTTCAATATATAATTTACGTGAAAACATTTTTACCTAAATTATATATTAACGTGTTAAAATTATTTGTAACACGTACAAGAAATAAAAAAAAATACAATGACTATCTCGACTTCTGCAAATCCCAAGTAAATTCCTAAAAAAGCCAATGATGCGAAAACACTTCTGGGTACCAAAAGAAAAACCCAAGTGTGGCCTTGCTGTAGTTATTCAATCGAACGCCTTTCAAGCCGTTGCCGCCAAAATCGCGCTCGAGCAGAAATCCGCGGTAAAAGAAACCGTCACGTGTAACGTAAAAAGGACTGTGTCGATTTGAGTTACGGTCGACTCTCGTTTGCATGTTGACCTGGCTTTATTTAGTACGCTTTGACATAATATAGACCTTAAATTAATGGTGTAAAGTCGTTTTTGTATTATGCGAGCTACCGGCTAGATATTATCTGTGGTCACAGGGATAATCTGTTGACAGAATCAAGGTGGCTAAGGATGAAAAAGGCGTTCTGAGAATCGATATCTATTAGTTGGGCACAGACGAAAGTGACAATACGGCGAAAAAAATGTTATTATTATATATTTGTACTTTCACTGAACAGAGAGTTCATTTGGGGAGGAAATGGAGATTAACTTTTGTTTGTTTGTGTTTTCAATGCGGTTTGAAGTTGCTTCTTTTTATATATTAGTATAATACGTTAAAGACATACGAAACATCTAAACTAGTTACATTTTAAATAATATAATGTTGTTCCGACTAATTTCAACATAATAGTCATAATATTTTATCCAATCTAGATTTGCTACCAGCATTTATGAACGTCACACTCAAAAACGGCAAGAAACTATCTGCGTTATACCGCTTTTTTAAATTATTTTGATCATTTGATCGCATCAAATGATAATTACATTGCAATAAAATCCCTAGTTTTATTTAACAATGTTTGATATTCGCGTAAATACATACACACACATATATATATTTAAATAAATATAGTACCTACAAAGACAGCGAGGATTCATGCAAATGCAAAGGAAGAGTTAATTTCACTTTGCTCTCAATGTGGCTTAATGTGACCATTAATATATCTATGTCTACATTTCGTTAAGAAGTTAATTAATATTTCTTTTTCTATCTTTCTTAATTGCAAATAATAATTCTTGAGTGTTCAATTCTTTGCATTTTATGTACAGATGAATAGAATTGGAGTGTCTCTTTGTAACATTAAAATAACCGCTTTTCAGTAAATGCATATGGATATGTACACCGTAAATATAGCGTAGCGTAGCATATAGCGTAACAGCCTATACATGTCCTAATGCTGGGCAAGGACCTCCTCTATACAGAGGGTATCAGGGCATAGTCCACTACGCGGCCCCACTGCGGATTGGCGGACTTCACATATCTTCGAAAATATTTTTTGTTATTATTTCGAAAATATGCAGGTTTTCTCACGATGTTTTCCTTCACCGCGGAGCACGTGATAATTCAGCACTTAAAGTTAGAAACTTCATTGGTGCCGGCACCGGGGATCGAACTCAGGTTGCTCTAGTATATTGAATTAAAGGCGAGTGCCCGGACACTGAGCTCCGTAAGATCACGGCTCTCCGTAAATATAACACGGTAAACATAGAAAATAGCATTTTTTACAACTTTTGTCTGTCTGCGTGTTTGTTCCGGCTAATCTATGAAACGGCTGGACCTATTTTGACGGGACTTTCACTGGCAGATAGCTGATGTTATAAGGAGTAACTAAGGCTACTTTTATTTTAGAAGCTTTATCTATTTTATATTCCACGTGGACGTAAGTATAAGCCCTTTGCGCTCGGAATACAAATACTGTTGCGAAATTCATATCTGTTAATAATACCTTATCACCGATAGCGTTGTACAAGCGAGTAGAGAGCGATATTAATTTAAAGCGCCCCTTTCACTGGTGCCCGGTACAAAAAACCGATAGAAAGGATATTTGCTTGCGGAGCGTGCGTACGGTACGTCATCGCCCCGATACGCCTATGCCCACAAAGCCCTCCGCGGGCCCGTCGATTTCGCAAAGGGGCTCAGGTAACCGGAAAAAAATGGACGTGACAAAATGTCTGTAAACATGTACCTACATGTACCTTCGCAAACAAAAAGCGGACCCATAGCCCGTCGCAGCGTTTGGGTCCCGTAGTTGAATTGGGACCTCTATTCACATTGCGAAATAATGTATCGGTTCAGCCATTGATCTTACGAAATAGATGTCTAATCAAATATTTCCGAAGGGAAATGATCGACGGGTACACTCTTCAAGCCTCTACTGTTGCACGTATAGGCAGCCTCGTATAGGAATTAGCGAGTCCGTGTTTCTCCTCTCTCTCTGACTGCTGACTTATCGCGTGCTCAGGTGTGAAGGAAAACATCGTGAGGAAACCTGCATATTTTCGAAATAATAACAGAAAAGATGTGTGAAGTCCACCAAGCCGCGGTGGGGCCGCGTGATGGAGTATACCCTGATACCCTCTGTACAGAGGAGGCCTTTGCCCAACAGTGGGACATGTACAGGCTGTTATTTTACTATTTTTGTCTTTCTAATACCCCCGACGGGCCTGCCCATTCTTACAGCAGAAGCTTGCGTGATGGTCTAAACGACTGTGCCGACCGACTTATCGAACGACAAGGCGTGACGAGGATCGAATGTTCCCGTGTATCGAATAGTCTCAGAATAGCAGCCCAATAACACGCCTAATTGCCCCGCGGGCGGCGCATTATTCGTGGTGCGCAAAAAACATTACTGACGGACGCAGAACCACATCAGCGTCGACGTGATTCGATCGAGCGTGATCTCTATTGACTTCACTCGAGACGTGAACGCTTCACGTTCGCAATTAAATTCTCGTTGTTCGGGTGCGTTTTTCGAATTGGTGCTTGTTATTTGAAGTCATATTCTTTAGACGCGTTAGAAAAAAATTATGAGAGTAATTTTTTTTTATTAGATGCCCGCGCATACCTTCTGTCAAAAAGAGACTTGACTTGGGTGCAAAGCGGCAAATTTCACGGTCACCATGGCAACCGATAAACAACTTCTGGACATTTACCTATATTATATAATTACAACTTATTTAGTTAAATCGTTATCAAATACGTTCAATGCCTTTTTCACAAACAAAGAAATTTAAGTTATTGTTTTGTTACGATAAAGAACTATTAACATCTTATGTGCCTGCATAAGTAGACTGGTGTATTTTAGAAAAAACCGGCCAGTAATCTAAAAAACTGACCAAGTCTTCTGTGGTGAAACCACGCTCTTCTTTCCGCTATTAACCGACGAGAAAAAAATAAGCTAAATGTACTATAATTATACTCGAAACGTTGTCAAATTCACAGAGGATCAATGCTACGTGTCCTTTTATAATTTTGTATAGAACACACACTATTCTCTATATCAGTATCGATCTATTTGGGAAATGAACTGCCAGCGAGAAGCCAAGTATTCTTACCGCAAGGCCTCACAAACAAACACAACGTTGTTAATCACATTAGGTTTGAAGTCTTCTGTCGCGTGCGTACATACATTCTCTTATAGTGCTTCCTCTATTGAGTTACAGTTGGCTTTCTATGTGAGAACGTGGCAAACGAGCGAGTGGTTCACGTGATGTTAAATGATAACCGCCGTAGGGTTGCAGTTGCGTTAACAACTTATAACAAAGTGGACCCCGGCCACCACACTCGCCAGACGAAAAGCGCAAGTATTATACTTTCACTTCACGCCGGTCTTCTGCGAGGTCGTGGTACTCACCCGGACGGACCTTCCCGTGCAACAGCCGAAGCTGTTAATATGTTGGTTATATTAACAGCAGGCATAACAACATATGTAATAGGTAAATAGGTTCAGAAATAGAGGAAAATAAGAATAGTAAATAGTGGAATGTTATAAAAAATATTAGTTCATTTGATAACTTAAAATTGTACATAGAGTATGGAGTTAAGTAGGATAAGGAAAGACTAAAAAGAGCCCTGATCTCCTATTTCAGTAGACCTAGTACGTGAAGTAAGCGAGTAGGTGAACCGCTTAGTTGCTTGCAAACTTTTAACATCGCAAAAGTTCCTTTGTCACCTTTGCAAAACGCGTTGCACTCTCGCCTGCAAATCCACACGCCCTTTACGTCCTTCGAGGGAGTCAAAACAGCCTCCGATTCACGAGTGTCTCCCCGTTTCAGATAGTGCGAACGATGCCGGGCCGTTGTTACCGCGTCGCGAGAGATTGAGACGACACAACCGACCACCATGTCGATACACACGCGGAAGAGGACGACGCGGTGACTACCTTCGCCACGCGACGACACACCTAACGGGAACAGCGCAGAATGGCGCTGCTGACGAACTCGTCGTCCACGGGGCCGACCGCGACAGGCCCGGCGGCCCCGCAGGCCCACCACTCCGCGACGCCGCTACATCACTACTTCCACTACCTGAAGCAGCCGTCGCCTTTAGCGCAGAACCCGTACGCGCACCACACGAGCGCCCACCACATGGGCATGGGGCCCGGGCCGCTCGGCGGCCTGGGGCCCTTCGGCCTAACCCACCACGGCCTGGAGGCCGTCGGGTTCCCGCAAGGTAGGTTGTTTTCACCTTAAGTATTTCCGACGTATTATTGTGAGTCTTGATGGAGCTGATATTAGAATAAAATTTATTTTATAATAAATTTTATTGTTAACTTAATTTTATAAAATAAATTTTATTTTATAAAATAATTAATAACTAAATCAGAAGACTTAAACTGTGAAATTTCCACCGTCGCGAGTTACTTTCAACTTATCACCAAAACCATCACATTTTAAATTCTACCTTGAGCGCAGAGATGGACTGGTTTCGAAGTTTTAACGTTGACGTATATATTAGGAACATTGACTCACATTCATCATCATCATTTCAGCCTGTCGTAGGTAGCAGAGCAAGGTAACTAATCGTGTTAAAATAAATAGCCACATCATTTTCCAACTCTCTCCAGAAAACTTGGGATTTAAAATAATTAATTTCTATTTCTCAAAATTGTTTGGGTTCATGGAGAGCGTTATGAATTCCCATTAAAATTCCATTAAAAAGACCGCCAAGGCACGAGATGAATCCTTACGTATCTTCCGAGCGGTTTAACTCTTAGTGATCGTTCCACCCCATCCAAAGGATCTTAGACGATGTCATTTCAGAACCTTACCTGTTCAAATGTCGATGATATTCGAACGTAACTGAACGGAATGCGGTTATAATAGTGGGCGCACACTTTTAATTTAATGTACTCGAGCAAATTCGGGTGCCGGTACCAATGAAATTGTTCACTTTAAATGCTGACTTATCACGTGCTCAGCGGTGAGGAAACCTGCATGTTTTCGAAATAATAACAGAAAGAAATATGTGTATTTCGAAGATATGTAAAGTCCGCTAATCCGTGCGGTCGCGTAGTGGACTTTGCCTTTTTACCGTCCCTGTATAGGAAGGCATTTGAGACATACAGTACATCAGTAGTTTCCAATAGTTTTGGTAACAAGGTAGGTAGTTATAAATTACTTTAATGAGCCAAGGCCGAAAAGAGAGTTCAATTAATTTTAACTTACAATATTTTTTTTTATTTCTTATCTTAATTGCATACTCTGAGTGCGACTGAAAGGAGGCTGCGTAGTTCGCATTCTATTCGTTTCACATCACTAAAGAGTTTTATTATAATACATTGAATCCATGACACAGTTGCCAAGGTGTTGCCTTCGGCCCCGGTGGTCGAGCGTTCCGTTCCCACACAAACAACTATTTGTGTGACCCACAGATAGTTTCCGATCTAGTTGTTTGTCCACGTGAAATTTATGTAAAACGTGCTTACAACACAGTATGGGGAATGTTTTCGAAGGGAAAACCACAATAGATCTTCTAGGCCGGAGCGGTAGTTGGGACGTACTAGTCAACCCCTTCCACGAAAATACAAACACAACACTACATTTCTCCGAAAGTATCTATACATCGCCATCGAAACAACTCCTTCAGTATGATCTATTTTATTTTTATTTTTTATTACATATCTACTACCCAACCCATTCCACACGAAATAGAAACACAACACTACACATCGGTTCGCTTTTACCGAAGGCTATATACATCGCCATCTAGCTGTCTACCGTGACAACTTCTCCCAGCCCGCTATCTGCCACACGACCGCAGACCGCAGCCCGCTACGGACGCGAAACGGGCAACGTTCGAAATTAGAACAACACGGATTCATTATTCACGGGGCCCGTCGCTGCGGAGGAGCGTTGCATAATTTACGTCGCGAGGAGACATCCTTCGGAATAATCAAAACAGCCCCCTCCCCCCCCGCCCTCTTAAGCCGCTTATACCCCCCCGGCCCGGGGCTGCCAGCCGCCCGCCGCCCCCGGAACGGGAAGCGGAAGTCGCTCGTTAGCCGCTTTAATTAGTGCTGGTGTTGCAGCGTTTGTCCTTGTTTGAGTGTTATAAGTGCATTGCCCGGCCGCGATGTACAATATTGAGGAGCATATAAGTGACTAATGCCCGGTTTCCGAAACACTGATCATCGTAGAAGTTAACTAATCGGCTTGTTAAATGGCTTTTCAAGTGTTATCCGAGTTGCCAAACGGATTGTTAAACTCTTTGAATTGATCATTGCTTCAGAAACCTGGCGTAAGACACATCATTTATTGCTTCTAGATAAGGGGACATCAACCTTTATAATGTTGAGGAACACACAAAAGGCTAAAACAACAAAAGACTAAACAACATTAACGAATCTAGTATTGGGGTACGAGCAAAAGCGATGAAACATTTGTATTCTTGCTTCTAGAAATTTATTTTATGTGAAAAGTTGACAAGCGAGCACGTGGTTCACCTGATGTTAAGTGAATACCACCGCCCATGGACATCTGCTACACCCGAGGGTGTAGTAGATGTCCATGGGCGGTGGTGCAGATGCGTTGACAACCTTTTGAAAATTGGGCTCCGGCTACCTCATTTACCAGAAGAAACGCGAAAGTATTATACTTCCACTTTGCGCCGGTCTTCTGTGAGGTCGTGGCACTTACCCGGACGCATGCCTATTCGTGCAACAGTGAAATCCGTTGCGTGGACCTACCACCGTGAAGTTATTGAAAGGAAACACATCTACAACCCTACGGGTGTTGCAATATCCATGGGCGGAGGGTATCAATTAAAACAGATGAACCGCCTGCTCGCTTGACAACCTTTCAAATAGAAAAATGTGGCTAATGTCCTATTATGTAAAAAGTTGACCTAACCAGATTTCATGAACGAATTCTTTATCGGTCATTATTTAAATCATCACTTAATACTTTAAATCAGGTGAACCGTCAGCTCATTTGCCATTCTCTTATATCAAAAAAAAAAACCTTCAAATCAGTTAATACCATATAATACTCATAATATTTCAACAATGGAAAAAACTGCCCCTAGTGTAGGGTTGATCATTGTGATTTTCTCGTCTTTTCGTTCAAATCACGTGCCTACATCACTTTATTACTGTGCTCTGAGGGAGCAAGTCCGGGTAGATGTATGTATGGAAGAGGAAATAGGTTTGTAAGTAACATCGTAGAGGGATTTGTGATCTCTGCCTACACTCCGTCGTGACAGGTGTAGAGCTTTATGTATATTTATTGAAGATTATTATTATATTAATTTATTGAAAATATAAGGCACTGCCTATAGATTAACTCTAATTTATTACTTTAAACACATACAGTAACAATTTCATGCTTTTATAAATGTTACTCAATATTGACCTGTGCTGCGGAATGATGCTATTTCTGCGGAATTTTTCTTCCACAATATTTGCTTCTACTATATTTGGATGTGGAAGTCCAGTTATCGAAAGCTTGGTGCAGAAACTACTAGAACTTTCGAGACGTCGGAATTAGAATGTCGAGAACTAACCATTCATAATCAAGTTCGTTTGCAGACTACTTGATGTCTGTTTTAAAACTTACGTAACTGTACAAGATGTTTCGAACGGAACACACCGGGCGATATTTCGATCCCCTAAGCGGGCGCGGAACGAGACAACAGTTAAAAAAAGGGAAAACATTAGAGGTCTATAAATCCCCCTCGATGGGGAGTACCAAAGTACGGATTAGGGCCCCAGAGTAGCGTTTCTAAGAAATGCCCCCGTAAGCCGCACCCACCCGCTATAGACGTATGAATGTCGACAATACGAGTGCATCATATTCAAAGACAATTTTACCAGCTCCATGTACCTTTTATATAATAATAATTTTAAATATTCCAGGGCATATTTTTACACAACCGTATCTATTACCAGACTAAGCAAAACTTGTACTATGGATACTAGGTAACTGATAAACGTATTTAAACTTACGTATAAGTAAGTATACTATACGAATTATATATATATATATATATATATATATATATATATATATATATATATATATATATATATATATATATATATATATATATATATATATACTAGCTGTCCTCCGCTTCAATGGGTCATACCATCTTCTTTAAGTCAAAACAATGTATGTGTCGTTAACTAAACACCACCATATCCGAAACACGCTGCATCTTATGGTAAAAGTATTATTCCGATCGGTCTTAGAACACTGCTCATAACACAATATTTTTTCAGTAGTGGGAATCGAACCCACCTCTGGCGCAGAAGACGGGGCCACTACCCACTATCCAATCGGGAAAATGAAACTTTTATCGTATTTTATTTTGATTTAAAATTGAAGAAATTACGAACGCTTCTCACCGTTCATTATCACGAGGCAGAGTGACGTAATAAAATCGCTAAAATAGTTGCGTTTAATCATAATAGAATATATTATGATTAATAGCAATATTCGTCCAAAATAGAAATCAATATCGCAACTAGTTGTCAAATTATGGTTGTAGTGGTTACTAGTAAAAGCTACAGAAAAACTTGACACACAGATGTCTCAAACATTCGTTTTACAATTATTTTACTAATCAGCGTATGGTGTAGTATAGATTTTGTCATGTTTTTATTAATACTAACGGACCCGTCAGTTTTCATGTACCCACACACGACTTAAATCCGACAACAACTTATAAATAAAAAAATAAAAAATCCTTTTGGACCAAATTGATGTAAACTATTCTCGAATCGACCTGAAGACATAAAATATTTCATTAAAATCGATACAGCCGCTTAGGATGATATCAGTGACATACACAGCATATAAGAAATATATATGATGAAAATTATTTTTTTTTTTTTTTTTTTTATGTGAAAGTTGCCATACGAGCAGACGGTTCACCTGATGGTAAGTGAATACCGCCGCCCATGGACATCTGCTACACCCGAGGGTTACAGATGCGTTGACAGCCTTTTGAAAATTGGGCTCCGGCTACCTCACTCACCAGACGAAACGCGGAAGTATTTGTCATACTTCCACTTTACGCTGGTTTTCTGTGAGCTCGTGGTACTTATCCGGACGGGCCTGCCCATTCGTGCAACCGAGGCCGCTGCGTGGCCCTACCACCAATAAATTTTTTACACCAAATTTATACTGAATCAAATAATTTCTAAGGTAACAAACTATATACGTATCCCA